TGTTTCTCCATCTTTGTTATGATTTCTTTGTTCTGGTCTTTAGCCTACTTGTTAACAGTCTGTATACCTTCAGCTTCTTCAGTTTTTCCTATTTTGGGCGGTGGAGAAGAGATTTTAAAAAATCAAACAGTTGTGATTATTCAAGGCTTATTCAACATTATTTTTTCACCATTGAGGTGAAGATCTGAATCCACATTATTTGCAGGGTTTCGTTAGGAGTGGGGTTCTCACCTTTTTGGGAGGGCTACGAATACCATCATTCACCATTCTGGGAGTTTTTGATCCATATTCCACCATCATTTGGCATGTGTTTGGTGAATGTGGGAGATAGGGCCTTTTCATCCGCAACACCAACACCTTGGAAATCCTTCTTTTCCGAAGCTCCCTGTGCACCTCTCTCACCCAGCCTTCCAGAAGATAAACCAACTTGTTCTGGTGTGCTGTTGATGTCCTCTGAGAGGTGCTGAGGAGACTCCAGCTTGGGAGAGTCCAGCTCCCAAAACAGCCATGACAGTGAAGGGTGTTTTATGAGGCTCATTCATTACACTCTGGGTGTGCAGACCCTTGCAGTTTCCCCAAATGTGGGAAATGGGATGGCACAATTTGTATATGTTTTAAAGTAGTGACGTTTCTTCCACTTGCAGCCCCTCAAAGTCATTGGAGTGAAGGTCCACACTGGCCTCAACAAGAAGCAAATCTTGCTGGACCTAAACATCAGGTGAATGTTAAGCTTTTGTCGCGCTGTTGTGCTCGTTCCGTTAATTAGCCTCCAGGAGGTGAGAACAGATTCTTCTCTGCTGAGTAAGTGGCAAAGTACTTGTCAGGTTGCCAAAGCTGTTCCTTCGACTGCTGGGCGTGTGCTGCTCTCTTTCCTGGAAGAGCACACATCCTGAGGGCAGGTTTTGTCCTGCGCCCAGGGAGGCTGAGCGGCACTGCCAAGGAAAAGGCCATTTTCTCTGCCTCTGGTAGAGCCCAGCCTGGCCCTTGATTGACGGGCTTTCCACTGAAGAGACACTAAGTGTTACCTCTAAGAAGAGACAGTGCTGACCACTAAGCTTTTCACGCTTGGTGCAAACATTGCTCCTACGCTTTGGTGGTCAGGATAATCATCTTAGAACGGCAGAGCTGGAAGGGACCCTATAGATTATGGAGCCCAGCCCCTCTCAAGGAGACACCGGGGGGGGGGAGAATCAAACTCCCCACCTCTGGCTCCGCAGCCAGAGGCCTAAACCATGGTGCTATCCAGAAGTGGACTGCTGTGCAGAACACCACCACCCAAGATTAGAAAAGCAACTTTCTGGGACTTCCACTTATCCAGAGCTGGCTGTGCAAGCTGGGAGATTCTGGGAACTACAGCCTGCCACCCAAAAGCCAGTGTTTCCAGGATGGGGTGGGCAGTGATACAGCAGACATCTGGTATGACCAGACCAGAGTTTGGATTCTCCCAGGATGGAGGGGAGAGGACCAGAGAGCAGAAAACAACAGCAGCACTTGAAAAAACTGCCCAAAAAAGGAGTGTCTTTTCCTTCAGGCCTTTGGTAGGGTTTTGTTTTGTTTTTTGGTTGTTGTTGTTCTGTCTTGCAGATTTTGGTTTAGTTTGTTGTTTATGGCTCTGGGAATATCATGCTGATGCCTTTCTCTCTCTCTCTCTCTCCCTAATAGCTACGTGGGTGATGTTCAGATTGATGTAGAGGTGAAGAAATTTTTCTGCAAGGCTGGTGTGAAAGGCATGCAGGTAAGAAGGCTGTCAGGACTGAGGCTGAAATAGTGCTCTAGCCCAGATCTCCTGCCCCCAGTGTGTCGGGTTGCAACTTTGCAGCTTCCATCATCCCCAACCAGCATAGCCAATGGCTGGTCTAGACTGGTCAGAGCTGGTCTGAAAATGGGATCCCACTGCAGGTGTACAGGATTGTACAGATCATCTCAAATGCTGATCTGGCTTCTGGAAATGAAATTTTGCCAACTGCTTTATTTGGAACAAGCTTCCACTCCACATCCTGGCACACTTGGTGTTTGACTCAGTAGATTTCTGCTCACCCAATGCAATGCGTCACTCCAAATTCTAAGGAATTTTATCTGGTCTTTCCTTCTTTTGAATGTCTTTGGAAGGGTATCACTTTCCTGAACATTTCTCTCTCTTTTTTTTTTTTAACCTACCCTTTGAATTGAACTCACAGCCTCTGACTTCGCAGCCAGATTCCTAAACCACTGAACTATCCAGCAGTTCAATTGTCTCCACGAGTTTGTCTATTCTTTTTAAAGTCACAAAAATGGTGACCATTGGTACAGGTCATGATAGCAACAGCATAGTATTTATGCGCTACATTTCAAAGACAAGAGTGATAGCTGAAAGAAGACATGGATTGGTGTCCTCTTCTTCAGAATATATCATCTCTCAAGCCAAATCCCCTCACCTTCCCACAGCTCCTAAACGGAGGCACAAGCCAGGAAGTCCGTGCTCTGCAGGGTGGAGTGGAGTGGAGTGGCCTCCCTCCTGTTTGTCAATGGGAGCTGGTCACATGGTAGGAATAGGGCCTGGGCAGATCCCATTCTATGAAGACCCGTGCTTACTTGCAGCAAAGGAAGGAAAACGGCATGGGTTGGAAACTTGGGAATAATCATCTCCTTTTTGCCTCTCAGCTCCATGGTATGCTGCGAGTCATCCTGGAACCCCTCATTGGCAATGTCCCAATTGTGGGGGCGCTCACCATGTTCTTCATCCGCCGGCCAGTAAGTGTTCTTCAGCATCCCATGTGTCTCTCCTTCCATCCCAGCCAGACAGCCCGTCCGTCGGGCTGTAGCTGTTGACACTGCAGTGACGTGCATGAACTGGTCTCTTATAGGCGTGCAAGCCTCATTTTTTTACTTTTGCAGTGCTATCTTACCCCAGTGAGATACCCTGTGAAATCTTAGAAGATGTCGGGTGTGTTAGTGTGTGCTAGCATATCGGGCAGAAACGACACAAAAATTAAAGAAGTTAAAAAAATTGTGGTACCTTAAAGACTAATCGCCATATTTTAATGTGAGTTCTCATGGTCTAATCCTCTTCCTGTGAAATCTGAGACCAAAGCAAGCTTAGGTGACAGGTAGAGAAGATGGAAGACAAACTCTTAAAAGGTTTACAGGTTCATTAAGCCAGATGGGGTAGCCCTTGGCCCACAGCCACTGGTGCCTCCCATTCACTGCTACCACTCGCAAACAACGTCACTGAAAACTCATCTCTTAAAATAATTCTCCTTCCCTCTATTCCCTTCTCTTCCCTTCCAGGAGGGAAGGAGATACTCTGCCCCATACACTGGCAGTGCACTGTGGTGCAGGAATGTGCTCTGCCAGGCTTGTGCACCACAAGAAAAGCACCTTAGTTACCACTGAATTGTGATGGTGTCAAAATTGGTGGCAGCTGCTGAATTCTTGCTGCTGAGTGCCCCCTGGTGGTTTCTTGCAGTGCTGTGAGATCCCCTAAGCATCAGGTGTTGGCTGTCCCTTCCTTGTTGCCCTCAGTGTATTGCAGGCCTAGAAAGGTTAGGGGACCAAGACTATGGCTCATCACGCTTGCTTGGAGAGAGGTTTGAGCTACTCTGTTGTGATCAGCATTGTCACTGGGAGACTCCAAGCCAGTGCTCAGTTGTACAGAGAGAGAATATTAATGACATTTTCACCTGTAGACTCCTTTCAGTTTTATTCAATTCATGCCCTCCCCTTGCCTGTCCCCTTCTAAACTAGCCAAAGAAATTGCAGAAACAGTAAGGCAGCCCCAAGCAACTGCTCAAAACCAGCCGAAATGCAGCCCATTCCCTTCCCGCTTATATCTCTGTTGCGTTGATGATCCGACAACGCTGTCAGCAGATGACAGAATATTGGCCAGTTTCTTAAGATTCACAAACACTAAACTCCATTTGTGGGACTGATGTGTAAATGGGCAGTCCTAGACAGACTGCCACAGACAGAATATCTGTCTTGTGCATCACCTTATTGCCAGGGCTTTTTCAGTGGGGTCAATTCACACTGTCAGGTGCTATATGAGCCTCATGGCGCAGTGGTTAAAACGGTGTACTGCAGCTAAAACTGTGCTCACGACCTGGGGTTCAAATCCCAGGTAGCCGGCTCAAGGTTGACTCAGCCTTCCATCCTTCCGAGGTCGGTAAAATGAGTACCCAGCTTGCTGGGGGGGCAATGTGTAGCCTGTATAATGAAATTGTAAACCGCCCGGAGAGTGCTTGTAGCACTATGGGGCGGTATATAAGTCCAAAAATAAATAAAATATAAATAAATAAATAAATAAATTAAATCTATGCTCGTGCACATGTGAAGCTGTTCATAGAAGCTTTGATTTGCAGCTGCCCCTTATTAAAAGCAGACAAAGGAAAAGTACCTCCATTTTGTTAAAAAAAAATAACCTTAGCTGCATGGTCTCCCAAGTAATTTTGACAAATCCCATTGAAACCTGTCCCAAATTCTGATGAATAAAATATATTTTCAACCTTCATTATTTCCAATCTTCTCAAGCTCCACTCTTTATCCCATCCAGTATTTCTTTGGTAGTTCCTTACTTCTGAATCATATTTCTTCGTTCCTAGACTCTGGACATTAATTGGACTGGCATGACCAACCTTCTGGACATCCCTGGACTGAGGTAAATTATGCATTTTGTGGCTTGACCATTTTGTAAGGCTCTTAGACAAGAGCAGGTAATTTGTTGCCTTATGCACGTCCTCAGTCCTTCTCTGATGAGGATGGGGATGTTTGCTACGATGAGCTTGGAAAAAATATTTATTTTTGTTTACAGTTTTCATAAACTAGTGTGGGATTCTGGCAGTTGTAGTCCCAAAATAGCTATCCCAAACTCTAGAGCGAAGACTATTCAGTAGCAGGGAGATGTCTATGCCCCCTCTGTTTTTATCACTAGAAGAGGGTTGACAGGTTTGCTGAGTATGTGAAAGAGTCAAGAGTGCAGAATTTTGTAGAGTAAAGCAGAAAGAGAAACCTGGAATGAAACCTCTTGGGAGGAACTGAGATCTGCTCAGAGGGAATTTCCTAGGGTGCAGTGGGAGAGTTTAGGGAGATGTGTGACTGCCACACCATGTTGGCAGAGAGGAAATGGTTGTGGAAGACACTGTCACGACACGGCACTGTCTCGATGCTTCCCTCTGCAGTTCAATGTCTGACACCATGATCATGGACTCCATTGCCTCTTTCCTGGTCCTCCCCAACCGCTTGCTCATCCCATTGGTTCCTGATCTCCATGAAGCCGCCGAGCTCCGCTCCCCAATTCCTAGGGTAAGAGAGACACTCTGTTCAGGGGCAGCTGTGGTTCGCGCATTCCTCGGAGCCCTGTGCCTGGACAACGTCTGCCTTCTTCCTTCCAGGGTGTCGTCCGTGTCTATCTGATGGAGGCCAAGGACCTGCAGTCCAAGGATAAGTACATCAAAGGGATGATTGAGGGCAAATCAGACCCATACGCCGTTGTGCGTGTGGGAACCCAGGTCTTCACCAGCAAAGTCTTGGATGAAGACCTCAACCCCAAGTGGAATGAGATGTATGAGGTAATTGGCTACCCAACTGTGGCAATATTGTCTGCGTAGAAGTATTTAGGCGGGTGCTCAGACTCTTTTCTGTCCTTCCCTCCTGGCTTAGCTTTACCTCCTTCACAAATGCAACTGTCACTCCTATCCTTTCTCTATCTGAAGAGGGCCCCTCCGGCCTGCACAATAGGCAGTGTCTGCTCTGACCCCCCACCTCACTATCCCCACAGTTCATTGTACACGAGGTCCCGGGGCAGGAACTGGAGGTGGAGCTGTTTGACAAGGACCCCGATCAGGATGACTTCTTGGGCAGGTGAGCGGCTGCGACAAGCTGTAACGAGGGACTGAGGCCCAGTCGAGAGAGGCGCTGAAGAGATGAAGCAAAGATGGAGCTTTGCTGCTCTTTTTCCAAGGTTGAGGGTGGGGCGAGGCTAACAAGGGAGAGGAAGGCAGGGAATTTGAGCTCATCCAAGAGTCAACAGCTTCATCACCAGCTCTGCAAGTTGGATTTCTGTAGTGAGGGATGATCTGATGGATGGGAGTCACTTCCTCTGCTGTCCCTGAGGGTTATTACCTGTCGTCCTGGAAGCAGTGGATATGCAAAAGTCACTACCTTCTTTCTTTTCTAGGATGAAGCTGGACTTTGGGGAGGTGATGCAGGCCCGTGTGCTAGAGGAGGTGAGTGCTGGAGAGGGTTGGGCCGCCACCTGGTTTTGAGCCAGACAACAGGATGGGATTGGAATTTGGTTTCCAACTGCAAAGCAAAGAAGCAAGTATCCGTGACTTCTGTGGGACAGCGAAGAAGAGGAAGTCCTCATTGTGGGCAAACCGTTGGTGTTTAAAGATCTTGTGGGATGGAGAAGGGTGGCAAAGAGGCCTTAGACTGGGCTGGATGTCCATGGGATGTATTGAAACAGGAACTATGGGATTAAACCCTGTTCTGAGATGGAGAGGCAGGGTCCAAAAGCAGATGTAGTTGTACAGGAGCTGCACACAACCCTTTTTGGGTTCATTGACTGGCCGTAAAGGCTCCTCAGTTCTCTTCCTCCTCTTTTGTCTTCCTGGCAGTGGTTCCCCTTGCAAGATGGTGGCCGGGCTCGTGTGCGTTTGCGCCTGGAGTGGCACACACTTATGTCAGAGGCCTCCAAGCTGGATCAAGTGAGTTCGACGCCTGAAATAGATGCTTATGTTGTTCAGGGATGTTTTTTTATTTTAGAATTGGCTGCCTATGAGCCATTACTCTTCATATACGATAATCATGCCCAGCATGGTCTCCTAAGAATGGCAGCCAGCAGCTCTCCAAATTCTGAGGCATAGAAATTCCCCTCCTCCCCTGTCCTTCAAGACTCTTTTCAATGGGAGAAATCAAGGATCGGTTGGTGTGTCTAGAGCCGTGCATTGTAGAGGAGTCCAGCCCGTCAAGGAGGCGCAGTGGGGAATTGAACTCCCAGCCTCTGGCACTGCCTAAGCCACTGAGCGACCCAGCATTTCTTGAGGGAGATGAACAGATCAGTAGGAGGAAGACAGAAAGAAGAGATACAGTTTGGAAAAATCTGCCATTCCAATGAGAGTGAATTGTGACCCACAGTTACTTTTAGTGAGGAGATATTGGAGTGGGGTGGGGATCGGGCAAATGGATGGATTCCTTGGGAGTAAATGTTAGATCTGTTGTAATGCTGGTTTTACATATTGTCTGCTGCCCGAAGGTTCTTCAGTGGAACAAAACAATCTCCTCCAAACCGGAGCCTCCATCCGCAGCCATCTTGGTTGTCTATCTGGACAGAGCACAAGAACTTCCGGTAAGCAGTCAGAAGAAACCCACCTGCCATCAATAAGAAGCACGGTCAACTCATCAGAGGCAGCTCTTTTGCTCTCTGAGGAGAAGTGAAGTATGCTTATAATCACTAAAGGAGAGCCAGGCCTTCTCTAGAGTGGGGCCTTGACTCTAATATGCCTTTCCATGGGTCCAGTGCCAACATGGTAATGTTTTTGGTGTCAGGCCAAAACCTTGTTATCATGGACTTTTTTTAAAAAAATGTAAATGAAACTTATACAGTGGAGTCTTGACTTACGAACTTTTCGAGATCCGTACTTCTCCGGCCGCAAAGTTTTACTTCGACTTGCGGCTGGAGAATCAACCTACGGACCAGAAGAAGGAGGCGGGAAAAGTGACAAATTCAAATTTGGCGCTTTCACCGCCTACCCCTTTCAGTCTGTAGGCCGCGGATCTGCCTCCGGATGCCTTCCAGGGCTTCTCCGCCGCCATGGGAGGCATCTCGGAGGTCCCCACCACCACCAATAGTGCCTCCGAAGCCGCTGCTGGGAGTCGTGCCACGTCAGGCAATCCCAGCCATGCTTGACTCCCAGGAGCCCGAGCATGGCCGAGATTGCCCGGCGCGGCTCCTGGCGGCTGCGGTGGCTGCTGGGAGTGCCTCCGGATGCCTTCCAGGGCTTCTCCGCCGCCATGGGAGGCATCTCGGAGGTCCCCACCACCACCAATAGTGCCTCCGAAGCCGCTGCTGGGAGTCGTGCCACGTCAGGCAATCCCAGCCATGCTTGACTCCCAGGAGCCCGAGCATGGCCGAGATTGCCCGGCGCGGCTCCTGGCGGCTGCGGTGGCTGCTGGGAGTCTTCCGAGGTCTCAAAGGGCTTCCCCCCCACCCCAACATTGAAGGAAGCCCTTTGGGA